GAGCTTATTTGTTCCAGGATGAAACTATTGCTGTCATCGAGCCTTTCTTAACCGTTGAGCAATGTTTTAAATGCCCTAAAATAAAAAGACTTGGTGGCATATGTTCCGACCACCAGAGGCGTTTTATTTTCGCGTCTCAAAATACAGTTTTGTGTAGTCATAAGAAGATGCTCGATGAATTAGAATCCGTTTTCCAGGTCATAGTACGAGCATTTGAGTGACAAACGGCATTTGAACAGGAGACGCCGACAGCTTTTGAGAGTGACCACATTGGCTTGGTTTTTCATGATTTTGACGCTACATTTGAATAGATTTCCTGATTTTATTTATTTAGTTAGTTATTTTTGTCATTCAAATGTGGCAGTGTTGTGCACAACACTCTTCCCCATGGTGTGTCAAATTTACAAAGACATTTATTTCACTTTACATGGACTTTATTCATTAAAACAATAAACCACGTGTTCACTCTGAGTTTTTATGATAACAGTGACAAACGTCGAGAAGGGAGGATTACTGCAATTTTTGCTTGAGAAAAAAAATGCAGCTGATTTTGAATTTGGCCTTCCTGAGCAGCAGATAAAAATAAATGGTCCACTCCTCTGCGCAATCAGGAAACAACAATCAGGAAATGTACTTTTAGTTGATGACTCATCAACTTAAGTTCTGAAAAAGCTCAAAATGAGTCATTGGTCAGCGAGTGATTCACCAGTTAATCTTTAGGACCAACGAGTGGCTCTGTACAATCATGAACACGTGTGTTATGTGTTAGTTGGACAAATGTTCATTATTTTACAGAAAGAAAATGATGTAGTTCCTCAGTATTATTTCATAGTCATCTCACGAACTATGACAATTTTTTTTTATTGCCGGGTTCCTCTCCACATGCAGTGATGCATAGTGAGTATTCATTAAATTCCTGATTTTAATCCTCACAATTAGCCCCTACCTACCGCGGTGTTAATTTGAAGCCAAAGAAGCAAGACGCTTTATTTTCTCATGCGAAATCTGTAGCCTCTTTCACGCAGAGGAAATGAACAGATTTTGAAAAATTGGAACAGTGAGTCAGATGGAAGGTCCCACGTTCATCCAGTTGTGCCGTGAATGCAATGCCCAAAGTTTTTTGCTGTCATTGTGTGTGCTTTCACAACATAGAATTTGGTGGGCACGTCTGTCGTGAGTCGAACCACAAAAAAAAAAAAAGTCTCAAAACCCCAAACTGTAACACACTGGAATGTAATCAAAAGGGTTTTAAAAAAAAGATGTATAGTGTGTAAGTAAGTATAGTGAGAGAAATGACCTGGCAGAGCTTAATAACTTCAAGTCCATGTTGGCCTCGCTCCGGCCAATTTTTCAGAGCGAGCCAGTCGATTAATATCTTGCCCGCAATATCTTTCGATCTTCGCTTCCTCTGAACTATTTATCCTCCGCGGCATTAAACCAGAGCCAAGAGGAAAATATGACTGAACCCTATGTCACATCTGATTGAGTGAGAATTGAAGCCCTTGGAAATTGACATTCCGAGCATCGCTAAGTCACATGCAAATATTGGAGTTCAGCACGTTCAATTAGACGCGATTAGTCGACGTTTGTACGTTTTGGTGGGAACGTGCCTGCAGGCTGAGGCGCCATCCCAGCAGGAAATGACAAAGAAATGACACTGGTCACTCTTGAAATGAATTCAATTTTTTAGGCCTTGCCTTTTGCATTTGCGTCATACTCAAGTCAAGTACAACTTTATTGTCAAATGCGCTGTATGTGCAACATATAGCACAGATGACATTTCCTCCCTCTCAACCAGACAACAAGACAAGAGGAGCCACTGCGGGTGCCTGGGCCGCCATCAAAAGAACAGTTAACATAAAATGACAAAATAATACAACACAAAACATAAGACACAGACAGTCGTGCAATCGTAACCACTTTTGTTGCATACACGTTGTTGTTTGAAACAGTTATAGATGAAAGAGGAGCGAATCAAGGTGTCCTTTTCACCAGTGGATCAAAGACGTCATGCTGAAAAATGTGTACACGTCTGCTACAAGCTAAGTTTGAAAGTAACAAGAAGCTGTAGCGTCCATTAACGAAAAAGAGATTGGCTCTCATCTCCTGGCCCATGTAAATCCGCTTCAATTCCAAGCCGCGACTCCTAGTACCACGTTCACAATTTTGAGATTCACTTTTAGAATTTAACGACTGAAATACTGCATAAGAACTTTTCACCATTGTTCTACTTAAATGAGAGGCACTGTACACGCAAGTAAAACTGTAGCAACACAAGATTGAAGAAACTTGTTTGTCTGTGATTTACCCGGCAAGTATAGCTAAAATCTATTGCCGTTTTATGCTGGAATTTCCTGCGGGTTACATTCCGGATGTGAAAAATGGCCTTTTCGATGAAGACATCTTTATCCGTTAGCTCACATTGTTTGCCTCCTCAGGATCTTTGACCGTTCCCGACATCCGCAAACTGCACCGCAACAAACCCACAAAGGCAAGTTAACCAATCGACAACGGAAACTGTAGCTCTCAAGTGTTATATATTTCCGGACTTCCTGTCCATGTGTGAATGGCGTTTGTTCATGCGTTTACAGCTGCACCCTGGCTGCGCTCTTAAAGTGACCTATAATGTCACAGTTTCAGATGATAGGCAGCCGCTGACTTCTTCTTGTACTTTCTAAGTATCCAAACGTTTAAATACGCAACACATGCTCTCTGAATAAGGCTGGAAATCATGTTTCTACTTTATTATTGCCAGAGATTTAATTTTGAAAATAGCAACGTTTGTTTTTATTGTTAGGCTAAAAAAATAAATAAATATATGACAGAATAAATCATTTATCATCAGCTCAAGGCTGTTCCATACTGAAAACTTGGCAAAATTTGCGGGCATGTTCATTTTAGTCAAAATGTATGTTTCGTTCATTGCTGCAACCACATTTTTTTTTTAAACATAAGTTGAGCCCCCCCAAAGGCCATTTTCACGCAACATGAAATGTGAGGTATGTCTAGTATGAGTAGACTCACAAAGGGGACCAGATGGCAAAAATTCCAAAAGTCTTCCCTTTTTGGTTTGAAGCAGCCATTTTATGATCATGGTGCTCGTGTCTTTCAAAGGCAAACTTGACTGAGATTTTGTCTGACTGCCACCAAATGTCAACCACACGTACTCGACAGATGGACACGGCTAAATTGCAAGACATTTTGTAAAACCGATGAGTTCAATTACTGTTCCTTCAGAATGGAATTAATAGTTATTCCCACAGTCAAAAAAAAAAAAAAATTCCGTACGGTTTATTGTTGCGTGAACTTTGCAGTTCAAACAAAGCATTACAAATCCTGTTGTGCTTTATAAGCCCACCACTTTTGCAGAATTTTGCTATGGTTTAATAATTAAACCATAGCAAAATCAAAGAACCATCAATGAAACCCAGGTGACAGGTTTCTGTTGTAATTCTAATACTGATCATGGCCCAGTGGTAGAATCCTCAACCCTTGCTCCCAGGGGGCAGGGCAGCAGCCTCTGATTAGTGTATGAATGTGCGCGTGAATGAATGTGAGGATTAGTATCGTGCTTTGCACACCATAGGTTGGAGATAAAGAGCTAAGTAAGTGCACACCATTTTTCAGAATTCCAATACTTATTGGTTGGTCAAAACGTACTGTTCTGATGCAAACAACACTGCCCCCCCCCCCCCTACAAAAAAAAACATAAAACACAGTACCTACAATGAAGCATGGTGGTGGCAGCATCATACTTTGGAGCTCTATTTCTTCACAAGTTTGATGGTATTCTGAAAAGTATCTGTTAGTGTTAGCAGCACAAACCGTCAGGCTTCTGCTAAAAAGCAAGCAAAAAATAAAAAAATCTCATGTTAGGAAAAGCACATCGTTCAACAGCCAACATTTATTTGGTTAATCAAACACTGAACTCCCGCAAGCCTAGTTTTGGTTATTGCTGTGATTTACCGTGTTTATTGTTGTGGTGCTGTTGCGCTCCATCACCGGTTTTCGCTTTCTAACAGTTCGCATTTCAGGTAAGATAGCAAAACAGCTCGAAAGCTCTTAATTTGATGGATTGCAATTCAACACCACAACCACGGTACTGCCTCAAACGTGAATATCCTCTTTGTGAAGGCAGAACTTTTGCTATTAGATCGTGTCCATCACACAGCCGCATGGCTTGTGTTGTTGTTGTTCGTCCGAGGGTTTGTTTGTATTACCTTCAGGATCAATATCGCTCCATTCTCGGGAAACGCGAATTGAAATGCTGCTGCTCTCGCTCCACGCTCCCATCTGCTGCAAACACACTCAATGTAATCGGATGCACCTTCCGCGGAAAATAGGCCAATTGATGAATCAGCAAGGACCCCACGGTGCTGCATTTAAAATGAATTGAATAATTTAACTTGCGTGAAGGTATGTACATTACGGTAATCCACCCACGTGACATCACACAGTCAGTCAGGAGTCAAGTGGTCATTTTTATTCCACTATGGCTTTAAAAATGAATATATCCAGTTACAAACAAAAGCAGTATTTTCATATATTTTTCACTTTATGTGTACAGAAATAATCAAAAACTCTAAGAATGAGGCAATGTGGCCCGACGCCACTTTTAACCACACTAACAAAAATCAAAACACGTACGTTACTACCTCTCTGATACTGATCATTTATTATAATTTAATACAATACAATATATTTCATTACATCCAACTGTTAATGTATTTGCAGGCATTGGCTGATGCACCGCAAACCAAACCTGACAAAGTGGCAGCTCCATCTTGTGGCTGGACGGTGTGTCACAGTCTTTCGGCTCCCTGGGGTGAATCCTTAAAGGGACAAGAACTGCTTTCGACACAGGAGGACCAATCACAATCAGGTTCGGATGAATAACAACAAATGGTATCATTACCTCACCCATACTCCTTGTACAAATACACCATTTAAGTCACGTATGCAGTGTGTTTGTTTGTGTGTTGTGTGTTTTTTTTATTACATTTTTTTTTTGAAATCCATAACAGCAAGAACCAAATAGAGCAGTGCAGGCCCCCTGGGGAAACAAACAACGGGTGAGTTTCATCTCAGCCCCATTCATATTCAACATTTTATGGCTTTAGACTAGCATTTCATCTCTTGACTGACACACAGGGATGGGGGGGGGGGGACATGCCGCAGTTAAACAAGCAGAAACAAACAGTAGCAGAGGGCAGAATACATCATAATACTACGAGCAGAGAAACAAAAAACCGAAACAAACCAACAACAAAAAACAAAACAAAACAAAAAAGTTTTTCCTCTATCAAAGCATGCGGGCAAGTCGCAGGTGAGAGATGATCTGGTCTGGTGACCAAAACCTTCAAAAATATTGCCGCGGTCGATCGGTTTCATCTTCTAAAGTAGCACAGTTTACATGAACAGAACATATTAAGAGCGTTGTGCTGCATGTCTCTCCAAGTGGTGACTAAACTGTAGTTTCAGAATTAATATTGTTTTTTTCAAATAAAGCACTATTCTATATATTTCTTTTTTTTAAATAAATATCCCATTACATATGGATAGTGTATGAATATTGTAAATACACCTTTATCTGTAAGATGTTCTCTTTTGTCTTAGAAATGCGTGTGTGTGTATGTGTGTGTGTGTGTGTGTGTGTGTGTGTGTGTGTGTTTTAAAACATGTTTATATGGTTAACATGCATTTGTCCCTAAGTTAAAGAGACAATATGTGGTTGTGGCCTCACAGGCCTGACGGTGCAATGAGGGTAGTGAACCCCCCCACGCCTCCTCCGGAAGGTCACCGGGCAAACTACAAGCGGCTGACGACAAAAAGAAAAAGAAAAGAAAGAAAAAAAAAATTAAGAGCGACATTGGCCGTTCCAGAAAAGGGGACGGGGTTAGCGAATGACAACTCCGCGTCCTTTGGATGCAAGCGATTTTATTTTTTTTGTTCAGGCCTTTTTTTTTTTTTTTAATTGTGGTTATCCTAACAAAACGCTCTGTCATTATAGACATTTGTTTTTATTCAAAATAAGATCTCAATATACATGATTTCTCTCTCTTTTTTTTTTTTTTTGACTATGTACAGAAGTGCAAAAATCACCTTGGGAGCTTACCCCCCACCACCCTCCTCCATTTTGTCTGCAATTGGCTGAGTGAGCAGAGACGTTCTGTCACGGGACCTCACCGAGAAAATTAAAATAAAAATATACGGTTTGTTTTTCCAACATGGCCCAATTTCCAAGAAGAGTAAAAATACCCAAACAATAGATATTATTTGAAATGGATAGAGCATATAAATAACATCATTTTGCTTTCGAGAACACCAAGAGAGAAGAGGAGTGAACACCAATATGCATCTGGTCGGTACGCATAACGTAAAAAATAACTAACATTAGCGTCAAGTCCTATTCAAATCAAAACGCACATACACCGAGTTTCAGTTAAAGATGAGGGAACGCGCAAAGAGACACTCCACGACGCGGTATAATCGAGATAAATAGAACGAAAAAGAATTCAAACGAGTGCGGCATTGCATGGCTTCCCAATGGCATGTTGCAATGTGCTGACCCGACGGTACATTCTAAGGCTTTACATGAGGGATACAATCGTAACCTTTGCGTTTCATTTAGGGTTTTTTTTGTGTTACTTTCAACGCGCTACCCATCCATGATATACTGAGGAATTGACGAACTACAATGAATCCTAAAAGCGGGGTACACACATTGCTTTTTAACCCTTTCATGGAACCCTGTAACCTGATAAAATGATAAGCTGTCCACTGTAGTAACCACTGTCCTTGAAAGCGTTAAGTGACTTTTGAAAAAAGGCCCCACACAAGACCATAAAAAGAAATCAGCATGATCTTACTTCTCTTCCATGTGATGGTGTACTCGAGGTGAGTAACACAGCACCACCTACACACTTAACATTTCCGCCGACAGGCAGCATCGAGCCGCAGTGCATCCAGACTGCCGGTAAACACAAAGAAGAAAAAACTAGTAGTCGACGAAAAAATAAACAAAGTGGGACCAACTCTTTTTATCCGAGCGCGGTGACCCGGAAGTACTTGGGAGAATGAATTCTAAAAATGCTTCAGAAAGGTGCCTCGATGCAACCTTCAAGCCTCCCGACCAACCTTTACAAGAGGGTTTTTACAATCCTTTCTGGCAGTCAAATTTAAAGCAACAGACCAGTAACCAAGTTAACAGACGATGCAAAGACTCTTGCGAAGTCCATAAAAATGAAAAAAGTTGTGATAAAAAAATGTAAAAAAAACGCAGAGTAGCATAGATGAAAAAAGGTGCATCAAAATATCATCTGAAAGAACAGTAGCAAAAGAAGGTTAAAAAAAAACACGCCTCAAAAACAAATTTAGCATTACTATCCATAGCTGCTCGAATTATGGATGGCGTGAGAGCTGTAAACACACACAAAAAAAAAAATGCGAGGCACCTTTTCATCCCTCCTTGACTTAATGACATCATCCAACAAAGGTTCGGAGAGGTGACTTTCCGAAAAGGCCCTTAGTTTATCTCGTAGAGGATTAAAACTTTTCTTAGTCTTTTTTTTTTTTTTTTGGAAGGGGGGGGGGTGCATATTATTGCAAACCCTTGACACAATCAGTTACTCCTCTTTTTGTGTCTGGCAGCAGTTTGAATTTCAGGGCCATTCCCGACTGGTTAATGTTCTGTTTCACGTCACAATCACAGATGGGCCGAATGCGATGTTGACCACACACAGAAGGATTTGCTATTATAAATATTGCAGAGGTTTAACATTTACAATGGCCCGTCCCGACTGTTTCCGAGGAGGAAATTAAAAAAAAAAAAAATTACTCTTAACGCACTCCACACCAATCAGGCGGGTTAAGCTTTCAGAGACATCCTATAACACTGCAAACACAGCAAATTTTAATCAGACATAGCTTTATATGTCCCTTAATGTATTTTTGACGCTGATTTAAAACCTGTCTTTACTTTTTTTGCAGCACATCAGGCTTTTGAGATATTTTAATTTTTTTTGTTTTGAAATGTGTCCTATGAATGCTTTCGCCATTAAGATTTCACCATGTGTTGAAATTTAAAGCCATGATGTTTCAGAAAAAATCCACCTGTTGCTTACCCTTGTAAAATGTAATTTATAAATGGTACTAAATATATTACTGTTGTACATATTATTGTTATCATTATTATTATTAGTAGTAGTAGTAGTATCATATTCTGAAAACCTGATGTGCAAGACAAAAAGAGTATCTGGTTTACTTGTATCTCTGATTTAGAAAAAAAAAAAGGAAAAAATTGTTAACTGGTGCAAATTGTGCCTTTTCTGACTTTCATTGCAAGTGTGCGAAAAGGCTTAAATTCATCCCAGTTGTCAGTTTGTGTGTACCCCGCTTAAATCGAACCACAAAAACACCACATTTAAAAAAAAAAAAAAAAAAAAAAAGTTTTGCTAAAAATCTGAAAATTCGGACAAACAAACACCCTAAGATGTCTGACCACAACATCACATCGACACTAAAAAAATCGGAACCCCCCCCGAAAAAAACCCAAATCAAATCAAATCAAATCAAACACCCGCTTGCATTGTCATGGCGACTGAACACTAATTCCACATCTTGGTTGACCTCATCGCAGAAGAGTTGAGGATTTCGTATCAGCAGTGTTGGGTCGTGACGGGACCAAAGATGAGTAGTGACGCCTTAAAGGGAAAGCCATTGCTTTGCGTGACCGCAGTACCATTGGCATATTAGCACACATGTATGGCCCTTTTTTTGTTGGGATGATTTAAAATAACACAAAAACCTTCATGACACAGTCTAATTCTTCGTCGTCTCTTTCAACTGAAATGTAAGGTGCACCTTTGAGTAAATACATAAGAGACAACCAATGAACAAAAAAAAGATGCCGCCATTCCTCCTTTGCCTCAATGGACGCGGCCCATCGTCTTATTCGCTTCACATTCAAAGTGTGCCCGGTGAATAAAGGTAAAGGCGCCCTCACTTTGCAGAGAGGAGGAAGAAGGCGCTCTTTAGATGTACTGTATGTGGTGTGGGTGAAATGACTGGAGCAAACTCCACAAACTCTGTTGTTGTTGACGTGTGGTTTCAGCAGGTTCGAAATCGGTTGCCTGATGAATCGCTGGTCTTGGCTCCTTATCCACCTGGCAAGTAGTCACAAACAAAAATAAAGACAAAAAAAAAAAATAAAGTAGCATTATTCGTCCAAAGATATTTCTTTGCAGGCAGAAAATAGGTCAGAGTTCAATTTAGATCAGTGATGGGCAATTTAAATGCTGGAGGGAGCTACAATTTTTCATCAGTGCTATTGGGAGGGTCTTCATGGGACCAGGCACTTCCTAACCACATGTATGACAAAAATGCAATTTTAAATATGGAAAAAATGCATCAATAAAATATCACGATCCTAACATAACATAAAAAAACGAATTTGAAGAAAACTTTGTTACAGCTACAGCTGCGGTGAAAGCGCTACATAAATAATGGTGTATTGTCTTGTATTATATAAACAAAATAACCACAAACTATTTTGTTTCCAGTGCAGAACCTCCTTTGCATCAAAATGAGCATTCAAGGATGGCATAAAAACTGCTGAACAAGAAATCAACATGAAATGCAAGAAATCATGATGCACATTTTTTTCCCAGGAAAATCAACTCACTCAAAACTTTTGAATCCTCTTCCGTAGAATTCTGAGATTAAAGTCAGAATTCTGACTTTAAAGTGAGAATCTTGCCAACCTTTTTTTTTTTTTTTCATTGGCCCTAATCCTCTTCCGTAGATATGACTAAGGCTAGCTTTGCCCCGCATTTCATTCCGAATCTGCAAAAAAATTACTCGGCCTACTCATTATGGAACTACAGTACTATTTAACAGTAGGTGGGCTCTCAAGCTGGGACAAAAATGCTATCTTCCTCAATTTCACTCAGGTGACGATATTTAGGTTAAATTTAAAAAAAAAATTGTCATTGTAAAAAAAAAAAAAAAAAAATTCGACAAAAAAAAAAGACAAAAAAGAAAAATCAAGTCAACTCCAGTCTTAAAATTTCCTGTTCCTGTCCATCTTTTAATCTGGTCTGTCTATCTGTCGCAACCTTTTCTATTCATGTTTTTAATATGACAGGAGTCAGTATTGTTTGCAAGACGACTTGTAAGTACGTACTGTTGTGAGTGAGGCTCCTACATCTGGGTCATGTATTTGTGACTAGTCAGATGCTCCGCAGATATCACCGGAATCTAAAAGAAAAGAGTAAAAAAACAACACAACATGGAAAAGCGAAGCGGAGAAACGTGTTCTATCAAAGTCACAAATCTAACTTGGAGCAAGCCGATCATCATCATCATCAAGCAATCGTACTAGGTTTAGCCTCATGCTTTCATTCATCATAAATCAGGAGGCGTATTCACAGACTGCATTGTGGGAGACAGACAACCAGTGGAGGGCGCAGGAAAAGACAGAGGAGCAAACCTGATTGGCTGTGGCGGTTGCAAAGGGAACACTTGTGGCAGATGTGGTGGCTGCAGACACAGTGGCCGGAGTAGCACCGTGCATCATGGGTACTTGGGGAGGGAAAGATCACACACACGCACGCACACACACACACATAGACACACACATACACACACACAAGCGTTTGAACCACAGCTCATGAGCAGCATCTTTTGTATGCCAGCATATGGGAAGGGCCGGAAACATGAGCGATCTGGGCAGATTTGTTTACAATGGATTTACTACAGGTCAAATTCTCCCACGTAGGTAAGAGGGGAAATGTTAAGTGTCCCATCGACTTGAGTCTGTCATTTCCCTACCGTCATGCCAGGTATGCACTCCGGGAGCAGCGCTAAAATATGGGCGTTCCTTGTCCAATCCGCCTACTTTTATTGAATTTATGTCATACTGATGAAATAAAAATGCTCTTATTCATGCACGCCCCAACGGGCTGACAACACGGCAAACGCTCTAACATCAGATATTTTCAAATTTAAAGTGGGCCGGCGTGGATCTTTTTCCTCAGATTTTAATGATAGTCACAAGTGGAAATAACATTCATGAATAGTCTGGACAGGAGACAACAGGTAAACGCTTAAAAGGCTTAAAAATGCTTCCACTCAATGGGTGAATATGGCCCCATGTGATTTGAAATATTGTGAAGGAAGATAAATAAACAGCGCTCATTGGCAAAGGAGTGTGCCTATTTAAAGATTCATTGTAATTATTTTTTTTCAATGAATACAAATATTTTCAGTGCCCCACAACAGCAAAATAAAAGATGATGTTGTTTTTACACGTACAATATTTCATTACAATTTCTATGAGTTATTTTAGTTTCCTTATAAAACATAAATAAATAAATAAAATAAATAAAAGGAACGGGCCGCATAGTTAAAAAATGTGGATTTCCAGCCCCCAATTTAATTAAAAAAGAAAAAGCTAAAAAAATAAGACCAAAAATGACACTCAACCAATAACGAGAATTCAACATTCTTATACGAGATATTTTACTTCAGCATGACACATTGAAGGGAGACTCAAAGTAGTTTCTCAAAGTAATGCCCTTTATATTAACTTGTACTACGAATTATATTACGAGATAACTCATGAAGTAAATCCCTCATGTTTACAGCCAGGCAGCATAATGTGGTGTTAGCGAGCTTGGGGAAAAATACAGACTGCAACAAGCATTAGGTGGCAGGCAGACCTGCAGCAAAGCATATGCGGGTGACTTAAAAGTAAAAAATAAAATCAAATAAAAGGTTTGGCCAAATATTGCTAGTGCGCATCTCATCTCACATCGGTGTATCGGCTTTACATGAAACATACGACAGTCAAATGAGTAAGGAAAGCTGGCACCTACCAACACTTGTTGCAGGCGTCATGCACAATATCGAGCCTGCCCATCATGCATTGCAACAGGAAGTGGAGTGGAAAGGGAGGGGAACAAACAAACAAACAAACAAACAAACAAAAAAAAAACAAAGAAAAGTCATTCATAAAAACCAGACATGATTGTCTTTCACCTGGATGACAACACCATCGCCATACTCAATGACCGTTGATGAAATTAGTAAACCATCACACAAAATGTGTTAGTTGTTGTATATTTCTTGTTTCTTGGATGCACAATTGTTTTTTTTCTCAGTTGCCGTCGATTGAGTGGAAATGCCGACATGAAAGTTGCAACGGCGATTGTAAAACAAAAGTGTGGTAAAATGCAGACACAGTGTCAATACTTTTTTGCATTTGCATACATGGATCCAGATTGTGACTGTGACGCATTGTTGCAGTTCAATTCTCTTTGCGTCCTTGGATCATTCACACACGCACGCGCGCGCGCGCCAAACGTCATCGCACGCTAAGCCCTGCTTTGACTTCAACGTCCGGTTTATGTCTGTTCAGTATGCAGTTTTCTGCTTCTACTATTTCCTACGAAGCTAGTAACAAATATAATTTAGCGTCAAATTGTGGAATTAACACATAATCATCAAATAGAAAGCATACTTTGAATCGACGACTGTTCCAATAGCTTTCACACAGACGGTAGACTAGAACAGGCTGATATCCATTCCACTGACTCGGCAGTCATCGAACATGCACAGTGCAACGCTTCTGCGTCAGGACTCACCCGACGGGATGAAGGCAGCCTGCTGCTGGAACTGCATGTTGGCCAGGGCCTGTTGGTACTGGAAAACACCGGCGTTGAACATGGTGGTGGCACCGTTGGCTTTTTCAAGTGCGGGTCTCTTTGGTAAAGGGGACAGGACGGGAGGGAGTCCCTGATGAGAGGAACGAAAGCGAGCATTACGGAACGAAACATTCGAGGCAAACGGGGGGGGGGGAACACTATCATTTAGATCAGGAGTGCCCAAACTTTTTGGACTGAAGATCAGATCAAAGACACACAAATGGTTGTTTGTTTTTTTTTTCTCCTCTACACCCCTTGCGATCGACTTGGGACCAGTCCGCGATCTACCGGTCGATCGCGATCGACGTAATGGGCACCTCTGATTGAGATTATGTACCTCATGATGAAAATAAAAATAGCAATTTTGCTGTCTCGATGCAAGGCACGACCACTAAATTGCAAATGAGGAAAGCTACGAAGACTACACTGCTATAAGCTTCAGAACAATCGCAAATGTTGACTGTACCACGCAAGACGACCATCTTAGACACAAAACATACATTCCACATGCATTATAGATGAACTGACCTTGAAAGATATGAATGTAATTAGACATATTCTTTTCATTTGAGAAGGATAACAAATGATTTGTTAATCTTTTCTACTTTGTATTCAAGAATCTGACATTGTGATGTATACAAACATGCTCTATTTCCTCATCCAATGGCCAGGGGCCTTTCCTTACTCCAATGTCGATAATACCCGAGGTCGGATTTTTTATTTTTTTAAAAAAAAAATAAAATAGTACGTTCATGTAAACATTTTAAGTCACGCTGCTATGAACGTTGGGGTGTGGTGGTGGGTTTTATTTGTCCATATTTTCACCATTTGACACTTTGTAGTTGAACACAGATTTCCACAAATATATACTGTACCGTGTGCAATTGTTGAGAATGATGACTGTATCGAATGAATTTTATACTTATACGTCACCACCCTCTTTTTTCAAGTGGTACGAGATGCATGTCGTTTATTGACAATTAGACAACGCTCTAATGTGGAACTTCCAAATTCAATCTCAGCCGACCCAATCATTTCCGGTTGTCGCTGACATTCTGTTTGATTTTTCGGAGCTCTTATTTTCTAGTCAACACCACGCTCCGAAAGGAAAATGTAAAAAAAAAAAAAAATCCAGGTTTCAGCAAACAAGAGGCACTACTGCCGAGCACTGCCGCGTGACCTTGTGTCGGGCTTCTAAGTAAGTCCAAGGCGTTCTTAGTTTTTTATCAGAATCAGAATCATCTTTATTGATGATTTCATGCAGACGAGGAGATTCGATATCAGTAGCACGAATGCACTATGTTATTTTACTTGGAAGTTGCTTTAGTTTAACTTCAACTTAAGTTAGCGTTAGCACGCGCATGCAATATTCATGGTCGTGAATATCATTTGACACAGACAGCCTGAAGAATTTGTCTTTCCTGGAAGCTCATGTGGAAGGATTTGCTTCAGTGATATGACTCACATGGTTCAATGACATTTTCGCGATGTCTTTGAAGTCATTTAATTATTTTTCTTGGATGGTTGAGCCCCCACAACAGAAATACGTAGAATCTTGTCAAGGCCACTATTTGAGGAAGTTTTGTTAATTCCATTCGAATCAGTTCATCAGCCCATGTAAACGAAACATCTCGGAGAGAACGGCGACATGCCAGGCCAAGAGATGAAAGGTCATAGGTACCGGATCGAAAGCCGTGTCGAGGGGCCGCTTCGGTGATTTGACAGCCGACTGAGTCTTAATTAGCAGGCAGCGAGCACATGATGGCAATGGGCCAATGGAGTTCAAGCGCATTAACATAAATCAGCAAGCAGCGGGTGCGTCACGGGCGAGGTGGGCAGCAGTACATTGTGGGTCGGTGTGGAAAAATTAAAAAACTAACAAAACAAAAAGTAATCATTGCAATGCAGTTTAGAACCACAGCAAGACCAGAACATGCACATTGTTATCATAATTGTGGGGAGAAACAGGTAATAGGCATCGCTAGCAGGAATAAACTGTGTTTTGGTTGTACTTTGTTGACAGCGGACAAATTAACACCTTTCTATTATGTGTCTTTGACCATCTGAGTAATTGGACTTTGTTTTCATTGTTTATGTCCATCCATCCATCCGTCCATCCATTTTCTAATCCGCTTATCCTCACGAGGGTCGCAGGATAAGCATTCGGGCAGTAGGCTGGCAACTGGTTCAGGGTGTCCCCCGCCTACTGCCCGAAGACGGCTGGGATAGGCTCCAGCACCCCCTGCGACCCTTGTGAGGATAAAGCGGATCGGAAAATGGATGGATGGATGGATGGTATGCAATGCGATACTCGTTGAGACTGCAGTCGAGCCCAGGTAAAATCCCGCTCAGAGATAAAGTGAAACATAGACGAGTGCTCTAATTACAACCTCACAAGTAGCGGCCAGTCGAACATATCATCATATCTACTCTACATGGCATGTATTCATTTAAAGTCAATAGCGAGGGTGCCTACCATGGCTGCAGCGGCTGCCGCCTGGTTGACTTGATGCTGGGCCGCTTTGATTTTGGCCTGTAGGTGGGCAGGCGGGTGGAAGTACTTGCACTTCTCCCGGCAGCAGCGGCCCTTGATGTAGTCCATACACACCGTCACCGTGTTGTCGTTGGTGTCGATCATGGTGCTGTCAGACGGGTGCGCGAAGCGGCAGTCGTTCTCGCCACGCATGCAGTTACCCCTCTGGTACTCTCGGCAGACCTGCGGCACAAACACGTAAGTTATGAAGCACGTTATAATATTAGATACAGCGGACCCTCGGTCTAATACTCCCAAATTTGCACGGTTTGTCGATTCAAATTCCATCTAGCCATTCATGCATATCGTTCTTTTCACGTGGGTTGCAGGTATGCTGGAGACTATGGACTGTTCAACAACCAATCACAGCACAAATATCGACAACCAACCAACCACACTCACCTTGAACACTGTGAAACTACGAATTAATGGACCCGGAACCAACATACCCCGGATTCAATGGAGAGAAAATAGTGTTCACTCCGCTCAAAATGCACCTTCTAAAGCAGCTGTTTAAGTCTGTTATTTCCAAAATTGGCGGCGTTTACTGGCCCTGTGACACTGTCAGAGACTGGTCAAGTTTCAAAGATAGACGGTACACTAGAGTAGGCTAAAACCTGTGTCTATATGGCGGCCATGTTGACAGTGGCAAGTTCCCGTCAAAGGGAATGGAAAGCATGGATATTAGCTTAGCATCGCTATAAGCACATATCTACCTGTTCATATCACAGGTCTCTCGAACATGTTGTTTAGAGTACAGTACACAGTTTTTGTTTTCGTAAGGCCTTTCTTTATGGCATCTAATCATTACAGAGGTGAAAAAAAGGAATCGCTAACGTTATGGCCCGTGAATGTGATGCCCTTATTCTTACCCCCAAGCACGAACAAGATAGGTTTGGATCAACTTTTAAAACTGTTTCAAGCATTTTTAGGCTCCGAAAAAATGTACTTTGATGAAACAGAGCATCGGCTTTACCGAACACCCCCTTCCTCCAATCAAACTGTTACATCAAGGTTCCACTGTATAGGCAATTTAGAGTCTTCAGTTCAAGCCACACTTACACTGGAGAGGGAGAGAAAGAGAGAAAACGTAAAATTATGATCAAATGTAGTATACAGCTGACGCCAACTCTGGAGCCGGACGGGCCTGGCAGGCCAAGCTTCATTCGACTCTGCCGGAGCAACAGACGTGCTCCAAATCCGCCTCCATATCCACATGTGATCCGAAGAGAGCCTTGACAGAATGTGGCAAATGCTATTTTGAGAACAAGGATTTTGAAAAACACACTAAAAATGCAAAGACACAAGCCCTCAGTAATCCACAGCTTCATTTACTTCCAGCGTTTGACAAATTAATTAATTCGCTTCTCCTGTTCACAAGCTGATGATCACTTCGGGCACGCAGAGACAATCAATCGAATTGACGGGTGGAGGCATAACTCTCGATTGAGAGGTAGAACAGAGCGTGACTACCACTCGTTTTTACGGGCTCATCAATCAAGCCGCGTTGAAGCGTTACTCAAATGGGCCGCGTTGCTCTTCCTCGACGGGACGATAGAGAGCAGCAAATGGTTGCGGAAAGCGAGGGCCTGGCTGCTCAGTGAGGCCCATGGGAAATATGAGAGCTGAAAAAGAGGGAGCCTGACATTGACGTACTTACCCAGACACACACACAAACACAAGGTTAGCGCACATATAAAATGAGATGTTTTTTTTTTCTTCCTTTAGAATTACATTTTGACACTTTCAAGAGGCGCGCAATAACTTAGCGTCTCTGCTTGAGCTCAGTCCGCTTCCGCTGAGTCTCAATCGCACTCAAACAGATTTACTATCATAACACCCTGCGTATGTATATCTCTACCCCCCTTTTTTTCTGTTTATCAGCCCCGCTGTATGCACGCATAAAGCGATTTGTGCACAAACTGTCTGTCGCCATGACGGCTAATCATGTACAAACGCCAATCAGAGCGAGACATGGGTGAAGACCTCCACGTAGCTCTCTAAATATACACACATAACACACATTCATCCCCTCCCAGCTCCACCATCACCACAGCTGGCCTTATTGAGAAAAAAAAAAAAGAGGCCGCCTTGTTGTCAGGCAGATGTTGGCGAGGTGGGCGATGGAGGGAGGGAGGGAGGGAGAGGAAACATGGGAGTAGATGATGAATTTGGAGCAAAGGACAGAGAGATCGGGTTCTCGGAGACACGCGTGTGTGCGAGTGAGAGCGGTAGACAGCATATGGCTGGTTAAAAAAAGAAGAAAAAAAAGAAAGAAGAGTCGTCAAAAAAGAGAGTGAGGCCAAATTGGAGCAATTTGATGTTCCCTGCAGCCAGCGTGGACCGGCCTGTCTCCCTTAACAGTGCTTAATCATGCATTAGCGTGAGCTGTAACCGGCTCAGAGTGCTTTGGTTGGGAAGCAAATGAAGGGCCCGTTAATCATGTTTGCATTCCCATGGCAACCGTCGTTCTCGCCATTTGCATCAGAGCAGCTCGCAGGTAAAAAGCAACATGTGGGTTTTTGCGAGTCGGGAAGCACCACCCTACGGCAACGCTGAAGCGAAGACAGACGGAGAATTAGATGGAAAGTTCTGGAAAATATTTTTACAGAGCTGCTTGTCTTCTAAAATAGGAGATTTCCTCCGCGACTGAGTGAAATTGTGTGTAACGTATCCGTCGACTGCAGCGCATGATACTCCACAAAATTCCGGCTCTGTTTATTTTGAATGGCACAGCAGCAAGTCAAATATGTCTGGCTGCTTGGATATTTTTAGCAAAGCGAGTTTCTGATGAATTTACTTAGTAAACGATGACCAAAGGGGGGTAAATCACCAGCACATTTGGGCGTTGTCCACATGTGCTCTATTGGAAAAAAATAAAAAAATCTCTCTTCGCCGATGATGTAACCAGAAGGTTATTTTGTCCAATCAGAAGCCTAAAGAAAGTCATTACTGGAAAAGGCACAGGAACAGCAGATGACTTTAAATGAAAATGAAAATGAAAATGGGATGGTTGTGTGGAATTACAGTGAAGAAGAATGACTGAGAAAAATGAAATATAATCAGGATAAAAGAAGAACAACAATAATAACAATCGGTATAACACAAGTCAACAGCAAATTTTAATCAGAGATGACTTTATCTGTCCCCTCACTAATTTTTGACACTGATTTAAAACATGTCTTACTTGTTTTGGAGCACATTAGGTGTTTGAGATATTTTCAATTTGGGTTTGACAGTAAGTTTGACACATAAAAGCTTGTGCAATCTGGATTTTACCAACTCTTTACAGCTCCGACGTTTCAGAAAAATCATTATTATTATTATTATTATGATGAGCAAACAAGTAAATAAACAGCAAAAGAAGGAGATAATCTCCACACACTGTGAAAAAATAACAAACATCTTCTTATGGACATGTTTTCTGTTCATCTGGGTTTGAGTGAAAATGCAGCTAATTGGGCTGAAAACACAACAGGCTGCCAGCTTGCTCTTGTCTCCAGTGTGACATTTGACTCTGCAACGAAACCGAAAGCCCGCCCCGTCTTCTGCATCTGATCGCGTCCTTTGGCCTCGCCCCTTGATGACCACAATGGGTCTTCAAATTGATTTTCCTCTTAGCTCCGCCCTGTCTGGCCCCACCATCTCTTCTGTCCCGTCACTGATCCAATCCCCGCACTCTGCATGTCGTCTGCCCGGCGACTTCCTCATCACCACCCCCGCCGCCATCAATTACCTGGCCGCCCACTGTTTCATGTTAAATGCAACCCTCCTAACTTTGTCGCCCACCACCCGCCTAACGATCGGCTTGTTATTCTGCCGCCGTTGTTTCCCTGGTGGGGTTGCATAATGGATGATATTGAGCCACAGTCCAATTCATGATTAGCTGCGCACAGCTAGGCGAGCGGCGCTCATCATGTGACTGATTGGTTTCATAGGAAAAGGAAGGTTTTTTTTTTTTCTTTTTTGACTAGTTTCGCGGTGATTCTGGGAAACTTGAACTGGGCTAATGTGTGCACAGAGCTGTCCTTATTAATGTCACTTCCTCTTTGCTTAAGTCTGGGTAATGACCATATTATGGTAATGGCTGTGATGTAGAGTACACAAACTGTGTACTGGATACATAATTAAAGTCTACACACAGATGCTGTTTGAGGGAAGTGCCTTTAATATTAGGACACATCCCATATTTCAAAGGCTAAGTGCTCTGCTTTGCTGTGAAATAATGTTCAGTGGCCGCTGTGCTTACTCGCGTTTGGATCGACGTGATGCAATAATGATTTCAGATTCTCCATCACACATGTTTCTGTGCATCTCACCTCCAGTCTATCTGTCCTCATTAGTTTCTGTGCTGCGGTGGCGACCGGGACGGGGACGCTGGCGTTGCTGGTGAGCAGTACGGGAGCGCTGGGCAGGATCTCGGCGGGCATCAGGCCAGGCGACACGGGGCCAAGGTAGGGGTTGAACGCTGCCGCCGGGCCATTGGCGTTGGTCGCCAGGCCAGGCGTGACTGAAAACATGGGCTGGAATGAAAGTGTGGGTCCTGGTTAAAGATTTGATTCGTTTCGATCATCTGCAAAGTCGATAAATTCTGGTGAAAGCAATAATATGTCGTAATTGTACCGCAAATATAACAATTATTGTGATGATACACTGGCTTTAGTGGGGAATAAAGCTTCATTGTCAAAATGAGATAGATTTAACCGTCTGTAATAGTGGTGGAGCAAACAGGACACCTCCCAACATACCATATGATACAACGGTACTCATACCGTCCCAGCAGGCACATGACATCAATTTGATGTTGAAGGTTGGATTTTGATGTCACATTGATTTTTGAATTGAAATCAGATACCCATTGGGACAGCATAGCCGAGATCACACTACAAAGTATTTGATACATACTATATCATATACCGCACCTTGTCATCATTGCAACACAGTGTCAGAGTTCCAGGCTAACATGAAACGTTTGCATTTTTGCAGTTTCATTTAAATTCAAATGTTTAATTGGAACCAATCATTTTCGTATGACCCCCCCCTCCCCCCACCTCAGAAATTTGACCCAACACAAACAATTCAAAAACCGACTAAAAGAAATAACCCAACTGTTTATAGAGTGGAGCATTCCATTTCTTATAACCTACCTCACCTACTCATCATACCATAAAATACAAACCGATATCAAGTACTTCATTGAAAAGATTATACCATTAAAAAAAGAACACATTATAACTATACCATACTAAAAAAACAACAACCCTTTTTCCCCCTTATGACTTTTTCTTTAGTTTTTAAAAATCATTGACATTGTGTTTTATCAGCAGGAGTAACTCAGATCAACAGAAAAATGTGCTGGAATATGAAGGAGAAAAAGTATTTTCCTTCCATTGTTTTCTCTCACAGGCAGCAAGAACACAGTGCAAGTTTTCCCTGCACGTTCTTGACCCCGGACCCCTGTCTAAGAGTTGTCTCTTGAGATCGTGCCAACAGGACACAATGAGTAATAGAGCATCGGCGGCAGCCAGGATCCGGGCGGCTACAAAAACTCCTTGCTTCTCTCATTAAATCAAGAAAAACTGCATGACATCCGTAGTATTTCCAGCGCTGCCTTCAGGAGCATCTGGAGAATTAAATCTTATCACAATTTGCACTTGAAAAGTGGATTTGCACCCCTCAAGGTGCACTGATATCAAACCGTAGCTCAAGGTTTGGCTGGAGCAGACATGATGTCATTGAAATGAATCCAAGTCATGTGGCTTCATCATTGCAATGATGTCATCTGCTGAATATTTTTAAAACTCTACTCATGGCCATTTCTGGAAGATCATTTTACTGTCAGAAAATCGTTTCACACAGATGAGATTCATCCACACCACGTGCCTCTTTTCACGGCCCTTGACGTCACTGCGGTGATGTGTGACACAGCAATCCACAATCATTTATCATTTCCGCCTCTCAATTTTTTAAGATAAAAAAAAAAATACATTTTACATGGAAATGCTTTGAGGTGATCGTTGCCTTGAAAAACTAAAAATCGGAGTGTAGTCCCTGAATACATAATTGAGCGGAAGCATTTTTCGCACTGTAGGCATAGCTAGCAAGCTAACTGCGCGCTCTACTGGTAGAAATGGGCCAAGTAATTATCTCAAAAGGGAAGGAATTCACATTTTACCTGCTGAATTTAAAAAAATACAGCTTGGATTCTCAAAATATTTTGCCTTTTATTTTGGAAAAGACCATTTCTGTGCAATAGAAATCTATACAAGAAGAAATACACATTTTGTTTTTGAAAAAAAAAAATGGGATTTTATATATGTAATAAATAATACACCTTTTGCTATGTGATATGTCATAATGTATCCTGCGCGAGTTGGGCATTTGCCATATAGGTTTACAAGCTCGTTGTTATTTTGTAGTGCTATGACACGATTGTATGTTTTATTTCTTCTGCTTTGTATTATTGTCTTTTTATCTCTTTTATAGCGTTAATATTTCAGCTTATGTTGGGAACCATGTGGAAAGCAAAATAAGAATTTATTGCACGGGCAGGGGACATGTTTCCCAACTGTTCATGATAATAAACAGTTGGAATCTGAATCTTGAACGATATCAGAGATTCTAATTGGCCTAAACTGTGGTAGGAAGGAATAAAGGACTTACAACATATTTTATTGGTTGCCTGTCCCCATATGTTGGCTTTTCTAAATTCAAACACATAATTTATTGCTAATTATTTTGCAACCTCCCCAAGCTATGGCTCGCACACCCTCGCGGTTCCCAGAACCCCGCACCGGTGGATGATGCAAGGAAAGCTTTAAAATCCACAAGAGAAGGACGAGAAGCAGACAATTTCCTCGAAAGAACAGTGTTGTCCCACCTTTTGTCCCTTTTGTACACAACAACACTGTGTTTGCTTAAATTTGTAGCGCTCTCTCTTCTCACTCTGTCATCCTATCGCCTTCACTTGACCCGCTTGTCTTCTTTCTCTCGCCAGCCATTTATTTCTCCTTGTCTCATTCGTGTGTTCTGTCCTTCTCTGCCTCCGCCATCCTCCCTTTTCTCTTGCCGTGACACAAACAGAAAGGGAAAGCTCGGCGTCCCCGCAGACATCTAACGCCTCTTTAAGCCCTTTCATGGTTTCCTCTGTTCCTCTCCAAAGGGGCTTTCCACTCGATGCCGGTGATAAGCTATTGGATAAGTGTACGTGTACGTGTGTGTGTGTGTGTGTGTGTGTGTGTGTGTGTGTGTGTGTGTTTGTGTGCAAGCAGCTTGAAAAGGCTTACACCTAAAGGAGTACAATGTGAATGTAGTTATTTTTTTTGATTTACTGCTGGTTACCCATGGTGTAACGGTGCACTCGCCTCTCGTGTGTGGGCAGCGTGGGTTCAGTTCCTAATGTGTCAATGTGAGTGTATATGCTGTTGTTTGCCTCTACATGTGCCCTGCGACTGACTCGCAACCAGTTTAGGGTGGTCCGTCTTTTGCCGGACGTGAGCTGGGCTGTGCTCAAGCAACCCCATAAGAGGTGGCACGGTGGTCGAATGGTTAGCACATCTCCCACATTCCAAAAACATGCACCGTGGGTTAATAGGACACTTTAAATTGTCCCTCGGTGTGATTGTGAGCAAGCATGGTTGCTCTTCTACATGTGCCCTGCTATTAGCTGGCAACTAGTTTGAGGTGTACCCCACCAACTGCTCAAAGACAGCTGGGATCAGCTCCAGCAGGCCCGTGACCGCCGTGAGGATAAAGTGGCTGGTTTATTGTTGTCTTTGTTAATGTTGATGACTGTCAGTAAATTCGCACAAAAAAAAAAAGCACTTTCCACATCCTTTTGGACTAATATTTATCTTGTTCTAAACAAAAAAAGAAGGTTGTAAAAAGTTAGTTTTCATTGAACCCATCGTAATATCAATATTGAGATACCTGGCATAAATATCAAGAGATGAAATTTTGTCTATGTCGCCCAGCCCAAGTTTTGATGTAAATTAGTGAAGACCAGATCACTCCCTGATGCATTTTCAGAAACAGGCCGATAACAACAGACTCACTTGTCTAATTTGACACTTGGGGGTGGACAGGCACGCCACAGATCCATCTATTTGTGCCCAAGTAGCATATACAGTGTTTCTGCTTTAAATTTAAGAGTGCAGACTGCATTGGCAGTTCTCTCGTTCGCTTTGACCATTCATCACCTTAAAGTGATGAATTTGAATGGGTGTGTGTGTGTGTGTGTGATGGAATCAATTTGTGGGTGTGGCCATAGTTGGGTAAGGCTGTCAACAGCCAAATATTAAAGGACAAGCACTCCTCTCTTAACGAAGACAGAGAGTCTCAAAAGAGTAGCAACTCCTGGCCAAGAATTGATGGTGTCATAACAGCATTGACTATTTTCAGAGAAGATTTTGGAGCATGTCTGTGGCTTACAATTTGAGCTCTGGGTCATTGAAAAGGTGTTTGATATGCGTTCGAACCAACGTTTCCAAGCATACCCTGTGAATGTGTAAAAAAAAAAAACACATTTCTCAAGACTTTTAGAAGTATAGTAGCGGGTGAGTGCTTGTGTGTTACCACGGGCTGCAGCTGGGTGGCAGGCATCATGGCGTTTGCGATCTGCATCTGCTGGGCAAGCATTGCCATATTCTTCTGCTGGATGAGGTTGTTCCTCCCGTTGATCTCCAGTTGGGTCTTCAGGTGGGGTGGGGGGTGAAGGTACTTGCAGTTCTCCCGGGAACAGCGGCCCTGTTGCCGAATAGATGAAAGACATGAAAAACATGTTAAAAGAAGTAGTGTGGGGGAGGGGGGGGGGTATAATGGGGGTTGACCTGACATAACTATGTGGTTTGTTTTGGAGACACACTTTTTTTTTTTTGCGACCTAAGTTATGGACTTGGTGTTTTTCTCTAATCTCTTTTAGCCCTCAAGATGACAAAGTAGCTCCAAAAGCAGATAACACGGAGGGAGCGTTAGCTTCAGTATCTGTCTAACAGACTGTGACACAATACTGTGGAAGATGTGCAGTCAAGTCGGAATTAGTCCAAAAAAATGAATCAATAAATAAACAACTTGAATTTCCTAAAATTCCTTTTTGAAAAATATGTATTTTGTTAAAAAAAAACAAACAAAAAAAAAACAACAAATGGCACATTTCAGAACAAAAGTACTTTAAGAATGTTTTTGTAAAATCCCTATTTTTTTTTCTGAAAAAATGTAATTCGGAAATTTTCGCATGGTGGGGGAGATGTACAGTGTGTGTGTGTGTGTGTGTGTGTGTATGTATGTATATATACATATATATATATATATATATATATAGCACCCGGAGAAAATCCACGCAGTCACATGGAGAACATACAAACTCCACACAGGAAGACCGAAGAGAGAGAGAGAGAGAGAGAGAGAGAGAGAGAGAGAGAGAATATATTCCATCTTTACTATATCTTAATAATCAAACCAGAGCTACCCATGCCGTTTCTCGGCCCATTCACAGAAAAAAAAAAAAAAAAATAGTTGACGGCCAATGTCGTCACGGGCGCTCCTTGTTGGGATTCGCACTGATGTCATTTCATATCAAACGATACTTGAAAATGACGTTAGGTTTTATGATTGCAACAGCTGACAGTGACACTGGAAAGGTTACTGCGCTTCAGATTTCATGATCTTCTATGGGGTTAAAGAAAACACATTGTTTTTCAGTTCCAGCGTGTGTTTCTAGCAACATTACGACTTTCTCTGGGGGCAAAAGCGTACAAGCTGAAACTGAAATGCGCCTGTTGTTGCGAGAAATGGATTTGTTAATGAACAAAAACATGAAAACAAACACGCAAACAGTCCTCACTGTCTCTCAGCCGTTAGTGTTTCAGCGGAAAACACCTGAGAGTCAGCATGACTCGATGATAGATGCTTAAAAAGGCCTGCTGAATCATTACCAACCCCCCTCCAATCGAGACGAGTGTCAATATTTGCCATCATCTCTCAGCATAAGAGGCCGAAGCAGGATGTATTTCTGATTGGCAGGAATAAACACACACCTCATCCCGCCATCGTACTCGAGCGCTTGAGAGACAGCAGGGAGCAATTTGCCACTGGCTTCTCCAGGCCGAGGGTCATTACATCCACCCGGCCGCCCTGAGGGTTGAGGCAGGGAGGTGGCAAAAGCAATTTGCGCTCTCATACTGCCGTCTGAACTCCCCCAAAAAGATGTAATATCTTACTACTGCCCTTCATTCCTGTTCCCTTTCACATGCATGCTGATATGGATGGTGCTGAATACAGACGAGAATGGCTGCGGCGTTGTAATCCAGCATGTTCACGCATTCATCCGGCTCCCCGTTAGTCTTGTACAGAGCAGAGCACCAGCTCCCATGGAGAAGAAAAAGGTTGCCTGTCACGCTACTGCTCATCATCTCCTTCAGATGATGTCCACGGCGCCTCAGTGTGACACCTGCGAGCAAACGCGTCGCATCACGTTCGTCGTTTTGTATTTCCTCGCTCCCAGCCTTGCTAGTCTGCCTAGCGACAATGTGCGGAGACACTTTGCTGATGAGAATGTCAAGAGTTCTCTCCTTGGCTCAGAGTGATGTGGCGGGCCAACACGGGCCTGTAGGCGCATGTTACCAACGCCTCTGGTCCTGCTCGCTTGATGTGTGTTGGTTGCAGTTATTGATTGCAGCTAATTCGTTAATGTTAATTTGATTTTCAAGGTTCATTTCCCCCATGGGTGGCTCGATAATAGCTTGTGAAATGTCTGTGTTTGCCTGCAAATGTGTGTGTGTGTGTGTGTGTGTGTGTGTGTGTGT